TATGAGACAAAGTTGGGGAGAAATTTTGCAAATATTTTCTTTCATTGGACACTCTACTCTCCGATTCCATGGGTTTGACTACTCTAGGGACATCAGGTAAGTGGATTCCACAGTGAATCTGAGAAGAGACTGCTGGTAGCCCGGAGGTGGGAGTGGGGAGAATCAGAAGTTGTTCGTGTGTGCAGTTTCAGTTATGCCAGATGGGGAGGTTCTAGAGATCTGCCGTACAGCTTGATGCCTATAGTTCACACAGATTGAGTGTTTCTTACGCATCAGACTTAGGACAGAAAGTGTTTTGGATTTCTGACATTTTTTGATTCGAAATATTTGTCACATACTTACTGGTTTAGCATCCCAAATCTGAAAGATTCAAAATCTAAAATGCTCCAGTGAACATTTCTTTTCAGCATCAGATTAGTCAGCAAAAGTGGGTGGTGATAGGCTAAATACATTCTTGCCCTTTTTTTTTCTCACCACTTTTCTAGCTTGGTGATTAGTTTTTGGTCAATTCCATACTGGCCATGCTGCACTTGTATGTTTTTCAAGGCTTTGGGATGTGAGAAATAATGATTGCTATTTTCTATGTCGTCAACACTTTCCACCTTTCCATGTTTGCATCTTTTTCTCAGTGTCTCTGTTGTGGTAGTCATCAATAAGAGCCTATCAGGTCAGATTTAGGACAGATTTTTGTAATTCTGCAAAAAAATGTTACTGGGATTCTGGTAGGGGTTGCGTTGAATCTGTAGCTCACTTTGGGTAGTATTGTCATCCTAACAATGTTGATTTTTCCAATCCATGAAAATGAAATGTCTTCCCACATATTGATGTCGTCTTTAATTTCATTCAGTAACGTTTTGTAGTTTTCAGGGTATAACCCTTAGACTTTTTTGGTTAAACTTATTCCAAAATATTTTATTCCTTTTGATGTTAGTGAGAATGGAAATTCTTTTCTGAATTTCCTTTCACATTGTTGATTGTTACTGTATAGTCTAGAGAATGATCTAGAAAGAGTGAAGGGCACAGGCAAAAGCTCGTGGTTTTCGAGCAGAAACATATTCCCTGTCCTGGGTTTTTGATTTTCCCTCTCCCTTAGCAGAGGGCAGATGGCTCTTCCCTGATAGCCAGATAGATTTCACTGAAAAACATATTGCCAGTGCTCCAGGGATCCACTTACTAGGGACTATGATCCTCTTGATTATGAGATTTGTTCCACCAGTGACAGAGTTATGCATGAAACAGACATAGACCCCTCTCTATGTTTTAGTGGTTTGGAGGATAAAGAACACTTGTGCTGATTGCTGGAACTTCCCATCAATCAGTCAAGAATGCTCTGTCAGTGGGTGAGAGTCTGTGAGGCAGGAGAGCTTGGGGAGTTCCCCTGGATGGTAATAGGTGTATGAAGAAGAAATCGTGGGGGCATCCAGGCCAACTGAAGCAAAGAGAATAAAATCACAGCTGATGTTGTCAGAGGGAAGGGAAAATCCTGGTCTGTGGAAGGGCCACGGTGACCCTGTGAGCTAAGTCACAACACTGAAGTCCCAGCCAAATCCCTGCTGTGTTCACTGATCGGGAGCCTGAGACATTCACCTACTTCTCCCATCATAAGCTTTGGTCCCTGAGTCTCCCATGACAGAAGCAGCCTCTTCTCTCCCATTGGTGATCAAGCCTGAGCCCACTCTTAGGACTCATGGCCAGCTTTGATGTCTGGGGAGAAGGGTCTCTGTACTTGCACCTGAGAAGGACTGGGAGGCCTGGCCTCTGGCCATGTGTATTTGGGATGGCAGCCTGGCTCACAGAGGAACAGAAGATACTCACAGAGGAGATTCAGGGTGACTGGATCACTGCGGCTGGAACTCCGAGGGTTCTTCATCTCACATTCATAGGGTCCTGCCGTATCCTTTGTGACACCAAATAGAACGAGGGTCCTGTTGTTTTCGGACAGCTGCCACTTGTGACTGATAGGGAGGCTCTGACCATTTATCCGCCACAGGTAGCTGACATCCTGAGTGTCAGGATCACAGGATAAGATCACAGTCTCCGTACCCTCCCTGGGGTCTAAGTTGCTGCTGGAGATGTAAGGCTTGGGAGTCTCCACTGTGCAGATAACAGAGAGAAGATTGTCCTGTGTGGCACCTTTGATTCCTCCAAACACATTTTTCAATCAGAGACGGCATTTCCCACTTCAGCCCACCCAAGTCCTTAAAAATCCATGGCAGATGTGTGTGTTACAAGACAGATGCATAGCAATCTGAGGGCTCAGAGAT